CTCCATGTTGGCTGCCAGCCTGCCTGGGACCTCACACCATGCCAGTGTGTGTGTGTGTCTTGGCTTCTGAAATCTACAAGATCTGAGAGCAGCCACCACTTTAATCTTTCCCTGCAATGGAGCTGGCTCTCTTACCACCACCACCACCACTGTGAAAGGACTGGGGCAGCGAAGACCTGACACTGCCTCCAGAATCTCCCTCCTCCCTCTACGCTGGTGCTTCCTCCCTCCCCCATTCCCCTCTCTCTGTCACTCACACACACACACACACACACACACACACACACACTCTGGCAGAACGCCTCTTCTCCCGCAGTGACTAATACTCTGTGTCTCTGGAGTCCTCCTACTTCACGCTGTGAGGCTTGGCCCCGTGCATGCAGGTGGAGCCCTGATCTCCTATCAGCATAGCTGCCCATCATCCTCAGCCTTCCCTAAGAAGCCTCGAAGGCACGGTCGCTGCCATGTGGCTGTAGGAGGCATTCCCAGACATATGTGTGTGGAAGGGAAGCTGGACAAGGAATGGACCCCAAACCAGACTAGGTCCAGCTCAGCCCTACCTCCTCCCTGACTGCGCCTGCCCCCACCATGGGGCCAAGAATAGCTTTTCTGCCCTTTGTGGAATAGATTTTTCTCTCCTGGGTTTTATCTGCAGTTATTGATGTATCTGGATTTTTTTTTTGTTTTCTTGAGGTAGTTTTGATCCTTTGTTTTCTTAAATCATCAATTTCTTCTAGAAATGAAGGTGTGTTGCTATCAAACTGTTAACTAGATTTCTTTTATAATTAAATATATCTGTATCCATAGCCACAAGCCTTCTTCCCTTCCAAATGCTTACTTTTCTTTTCTTTCCCCTCAGACAAGAATTGCTAAAGATTTTTTTAAATTGATCTTTTAAAGAATTTTCGATATTTTAGACTTCAACTACTTTTGATTTTTAGCTATCAACTACTTTCGCCCTCATTCCTCTACTTTTATTGACTATTCCCCCCACCCCGTGTCTTTTTTTTTAATTTCTTAGTTGTAGATGGACACAATACCTTTATTTTGTTCATTTATTTTTATGTGGTGCTGAGGATCGAACCCAGTGTCTCACATGTGCACAGCAAGCACTCTACCACTGAGCCACAGCCTCAGCCCCTTTCTCTTTGGTTTTATTTATTCTCTTCTAGCTTCCCAATTTCAGTGCTTAATTAATTTTCAGTTTCGGTTTCTGAAATGCATTTAAAGCTATAATTTCCCCCTGAGAACCATTTTGGTCTCAACCCATTGTCCTTCAATTACAAATTATTTGTAATTTCTGTTTGGCTTTTCTCTTTAACTGGAGAGTTATAGAGCAATATAACTTTTAAATTTTCAAAGTGAATGGATTATTTTATATTCTTRTTTCTATTAATAACAGATCATTAGTGGGTGGGGGCATTTGTTCTATCTTTAAGACAGACCTGTTTAAAAGTTTCCATGTTTTAAGCTTCGTGACTTTGGCACTTTTTGATGTTTTTACCTTTTCTCATTATATATACCCTACATTTTTCCTATTTAATGACTTAACCTTGAACTTAATTTTGCAGATGCAATTCTTTTGGTTAGCATGTGGCAAGTATATTCTTCTTTTATCCTTTCTCATTTTGTGTGTGTCATTTTCTTCTCATGGGTCTTTTTTAAGTAGCAGGCAAATTGCTTTTTGTACTAAGAATCTGCTTTTGACAGGTGAATTCATCCCATTTGTATTTGTTGTGATTGGATTTATTTCTGCCATCTTATTTCACATCTACTTTTTAATTGTACTTGCTTATTTCATTAAGTTTATTTTTGCCTTTTGTTGAATTGGTTCCATTTGCTTTGTTCTGTTTTTCCTCTCTTCTGGTGATTAGGAGGTTTGGGGTTTTATTTCTGTTCTTTGGGTAGGTCTGCTATATACMTAAGAAAGTGTATACTTAACATTTTCCTATCAGCCTCTGGGTATAATTGGGATCTTTGGCCTCTTTCCCAATGAAGCAAGAAAGTTAGTACAGGCTGAGTATCCCTTATCTAGTACCAGAATAAGGATATCATATTGGGGCAACAAGTGTTTCAGGTTTCAGAGTTTTTCAGATTTGGGAATATTTGCATAGACCTTACCATTTGAACATCCCTAGTCCAAAAATCTAAGCTCCAAAATGTTCCAATATGTAAAACTTTTTGAACACCACATTGGTATACAAAATGTTACAGGTTTCAGAGCACTTCAGATTTTTAATTCTCAGGTGAGGGACACTTACATTTTCCTGGTCTCTTCCTTCACACATGGCTCATCATAGATTTTAGTTCCAATTTATCATCCCTTCTCTTCAAACTATTTAACATTTTATTTAAACTTAACTCTTATATTTTGCTGTTTTCTTTTGCTTATAACTATTTATAACATCCCTTATCCTTCTCTTTCATGAATCTGTTTTTCACTTTGCTTGAGTACATCTCTAAGAATTCTTTTAGAAAGTTGGCAAGATAATGTCAAAGACCTTCAGTGTCTGAAATGGCTGTTTTCCTTTCCAGAGGATCCATTGTATTTTCAGCTCCCTATTGAGATTTTTTTTTAATTGAATGATCATATTTTTAAACATAACCTAGAAAATATGTGAATATATTAATTATAACATGACCTTAATGTATGTTGCTATTGAATTTAGGCCTTCCCATCCACATGTCAGCCATTTCAAGTGTTTAATTGATTGCGGTTCTAAGTGGGATTTATTTGGGTGGGGGGAAGCTATAATGGAGGGATCCAGTTGAAGGTGCACTCTTCCTACCCCTCAGCCACCCCACTGGTCCTCACTGTAGGTCCCTGTCTTCTTATATCCAGATGAAAGAGTTGTAGGATGTCAGAGCTACACGGACCTCAAGGTCCAGAGTCCTGCCCCTCTTCCTGCATGAGCCTGAGGCCCGGGAGTGGGGCAGAGTAGCCACTAGCTTCTCTCACGTCTGGTGCACATCCCAGCTCCTCCTGTCCATCCATCGCCCCTCTGAAGTGCAGAAGGACTGGGCCTCACTAGTCCCTGCATCAATGATGATCTGATGGGACAGGTCACTTTCCCAGGCCCTGTCTGAAGGTACCAGAGGAGATGTGGAGTCCTAAGTATCCTCAGTAGCTCGTTCTGTGGCTTTCCTTGCTGTCCACCCCCTGGTACCCCTACATCTGTCTCTTGCTCCCTCTTTTCTTCTCAGTATCTGACATAAGTCTCCAAATATCTGTCTGAAGTCCTATTCAGGGGTCTGCTCGGCTTTGCAAACAGTGTCAAAACTGAGTCCCCAAATCCTGCTTCTCCTCCTTCCTTACCGCCTTAGTCCATGACACCGATATTCACCCTGTCACTCAGGCCAGACCCAATAGCACCCCCACTGCAGCCCTGTCTTTGAAAGTGGCCCCCCATCATATCCTGCCTGGATTGCTGCACAAGCTCCTAACAAGTCCCCTTGCTCCCACGTGCGGCCTATTGGAAAAGGGAACTTGTTAGGAGGAGCCAGAATGAACTTGTATAAATAATACCATCTTCTGACAGTGACCACCCCCCACCCRGCTCTGTTGTTCTTCATAGTGTACGCTTAACCAGCTAACGTTCCAGCAGCCTCTCATTTATCTGTCTCTCGACGGGATCTTAAGTTCTTACCACAGCAAGGATTTTGCCACATTTGTCTTGTGCCCACAGAGGCTAGAACCTGCCCAGCACATTGTAGGCACTCAAAGATTTCTTAAATGAATGAACAGCATGGCTTAGACTCCTCATTTATTTGCTCATTCAAGTACTATTTGGGTACATGTTGTGCTGAGACTCAAATAGCCAGGTGACTCACATAGACCAGGTCCCTGCCTCTGGGAGCCAACAGTCCGGCCRTGGGGGGACATTAAACAGGCAGCAAGATGTGTCTGGAGAAGGGTTGGGACAGAGTGGGGAGAACCCTGGGGGCTCAGGCAGCAGAACACGACATCAGAGTGAGCCAAGGCCTGGGAGGAGGGAGCCCAGGCCCAGGGTGTGGGAGAGAAGGCCCCTCGAAGATGGCAGGCTCCTGGCAGACACTCCCCTCGGCCTTCTTTGTGCCAGCACTTCTCTCTCAGGGCATTACACATAGTAACTCAAACCACCCTGGCCGTCCGTCCCTGTTTTAGGAAACAGAGGCACAGAGAAATGAACCTTCCCRGGGCCACGCCCGAGGAGTGGAAAGCCAGACACAGTGCCGTGGTCTGACTCCAAAATCTGTAACCACCAACTTCACTGCCTCGAGGGAGAGGGAGAAATTGGGTCTGGTCACAGAGTGGAGAGAGCATGGAGGCCAGTGAGCAGGGGCATGCAGGAGCCCACAGTTCAGACCTTGGACCGTGTCGGGTGGGAGTGGTCAGGCTGGCACAGCTGGAAGGAGACACCCCCACCCCAGCTGTGGCTGGGACTCTCTGAGCCAGGCAGAGGTGGAGCACTTGATCTCACCAGGAAGGAAGGGTGAGCGTCAGGGGTCCGTGGGACGATGRTGGCTTGGAGGGAAGGACCTTTCTCATGGTCTTGGGGGACCCTGCTTCCAGCCCCAGCACTGTTCCCGCCACCCCTGTGACAGTCCCATCCTAGAGGTGAGGGTCACTCCCTCCCTGAAGCCTGCCTGGTGTGTGTCCACACTGACCAGTGGCCTCCTCAGGGCTTCCCCCAGGCTTATCCACAAACACACGTTTCTCCACAGGGGGCAGCAAGATGGCGGAACTGGAGACTCAAAGAGAGTCTTTGAGCTTAGCTTCCAGAAGAATCCTGCTCTGTAAACGCTGCGGCAGGGAGTCACCCCGGCCCTGGGGACTCCTCAGTGGGTGTTTGTGAGAGCTGATCACTGATTTTAAATCACTTGTGGGTGGATCAGGGAATTGAGGCCCAGTGAGCACCTGGATCGAAACCACTCAGGCAGAGCCTCCCACTGGGGGGCTGTGGGCTCAGGGGACTCCAGTGGGACGCTGGCAGCCCCTGAGTGGCCTCATCTCTCCCCAGTTCTGGACACAGCCGGGCAGGAGGAGTTCAGTGCCATGCGGGAGCAGTACATGCGCACCGGGGACGGCTTCCTCATCGTCTACTCCGTCACCGACAAGGCCAGCTTCGAGCACGTGGACCGCTTCCACCAGCTCATCCTGCGTGTCAAGGACAGGTGAGGGCAGGGTGTCCCAGCTCCTGGCCTGCAGGAGGCTCCCTTCTGCCTTTCTTCCTCTTTCTCCTCCTCTTCTTCCTCCTCTTCCCCCTTCCTCTCCTGGAAAGCTGAATTCTCTCCTCCCCACAGATCTCCCTATCAGTTCCTCCAGTGCCACCCCTAGATTTTTTCTTCAGGACCAAACTGCTTCCAGGGACCTAAGGGGGTCCATCCCCACCCCGTAGCAGCATCTTTGTTTCAACTCCAATTTAGCCAAGTTATATTATGGACCAAGAAGTGAATTTTCTCTCTAGTATACATGGTCATTGATTAAGTCACATTTGACTGTGAGATTTATAAGCCTCTAATTAAAAGCACGTTTTTCCTTGTCTCATAATTGAATAATTTGGAGCCCATTTTCAGCCCAGCTGGTCTTTTCAGTTGATTGGATCTCGAAGAGGCAGMGTAAAGACAATAAACGGAGGAGCTAATAGGAAAACAGCAAGTTCTGACCAATCCGAGTAAACACAGAAAAATCCAGCTAATACCTATTCTAAAGCAGAAAGGGGTAATGACTTTACCAGGTAAAGGGACACACGCACACAGAGCTCAGTTATGTCCCTGAGTATATGAGCCTCAAAAGTGACTCAGGTGGGAAAATATTTAATTTTCTTGCTAATCAAAGAAATGTGAGGGAAATAGTAAAGTGCCACTTTTTCACCTGTGAAATTACAATTTTTAAAGAATAAAAATATCCAGTGCTGGATTCAACAGGGCAGGACCTCATGGGGCATAAAGTGAGAGTGACGATTTGGATGGCAGTTTGGCCTCTGGACCAGCCTCAACACCAGCCTTGTGACAGGCTTGAGGCTTCAAAACCAAGACAGCCACCTCACCTCCCAGGCCCCTTTCACCCAAGGGCTTACCTCACTCTGGACAGGAGCTGGGAAGGGGTTCTGATGCGGCCAAGCAGGCTGATACACCTGAGGTTTGACTGCATCCCCTCAGCCAGGCACTGGCCCTCACTGTCCCTTTATTTCCAGGGAGTCATTTCCCATGATCCTCGTGGCCAACAAGGTCGATTTGATGCATCTGAGAAAAATCACCAGGGAGCAAGGAAAAGAAATGGCCAACAAACACAATGTAGGTGCACGTGCGTTGGGCTGTGTGGGGCCGGAGGATGTGTGAATGTGGGTGCTCCATCTCTCTGGCAGAGCTGGCCTTTGGAATTGGAACGTGGGCCTCCTGAGTAGCAACTGGATTTTATGGGGCAGGCCCTCATGGGGCATATGGGGGGGGGATATTTTTAAAACAAGTCAGAGAGAAAACACCCTCTGTAGTCATTAGAAGTTCTGATGTGGGGATCTGATACCTTCTGAGTGGCGTTCCACCCACCTCCTGGTCAAGGGCCACTCAGTCCCACCAGGACCCTGCAGATCCATGCCTGGGCTGTGCAGAGGGGTTGGCTTCTGTCCACCACCCAGTATGCTCACGCTCATTGGAGTCAGTTCTGTTCGCTCGCTGAGCTCTGCCCTGCACCAGGCACTGCTCCTGGGGAACAGACGCACCATGCCGATGGCTCCTCAAAGTGGGCGTCCTTAACCCCACCTGACAAGTGACCACACTGAGGTTTGCCCCGGCCACAACCTGAATATCATCAGAAAATGTTAGGTTTTCTAGTGTTGCTAGGTGAGGTCTCTGGGCATCCCCAGCCCTTGTGGGCATGGACTGTGCCCTCTGGCTCCCTCCTCTGCTGCCAGGTTGAACCTCCCCTCTGACCATTGGCTCAGCTCTGCTAGTTGAAGAGGGGGTGCACTGGAAGTTAACCCTGCCTGTCTCTGCCCTCTGTTTGCRTCTTGATTCCATCACTCTAGACCCTGGACAACAATCATCCCTGCCTCATGGGGCCTGCCTCCAGTGACCGAGACAGACTATAATAAGCAAAGCAAATTAGAGTTCTGAAAGTTAGGTGTTATGGAAACAAACACAGGGAAAGGGGGTCAGGGATGTGGCGTGGAGACGATGCTTTCCAAACAGGGTAGTCAGGAAGAGGTTTCCGGAAAGGTTCAATTCAGCAGGGAGTTCATACACAAGAGAATGTGCCCTGCAGGTTACTGGGGAAAGAATACTCTACAAAGGAAATAGTGTGTACAAAGACCCTGAGGTGGGAGTTTGCAGAACATCAAGGAGGCCATCTTGGCTCAGCAGAGGGAGCAGTTGGGGTGACTTTGGGAAGTGAGGATGGATAGGTGGTTTAATCCTTGTGAGATTTTACTGTGAGGAGGGAAATCACTGGAGAGTTGTGAGTGAGAGGGATATGGCCCTACCTACAAATGAACAGTCTCTCTCTAGAGGCTGCATGGAGTAGAGTCCATGGGTGGCAAGGATGAGGGCAGGGAGATTAGGAAGGGACTGTCCCTACGGCCCACATAAGATTGACTTGGACCAGAGCGTTGCTGTGAAGGTGGTGGGCTGGGTTTGTAAGAGCTAACAGCATTTCCTCACAGATTGCTTATGAGGAGAGAGAAAGAGGAGACGGTTCCGGTTCCAAGGTTTGGGCATGAACAATTAGAGGAGACTGGAACTCCAGTAAGTGAGCCAGGAGGGACAGTCGGAGTCAGTAGGGGAAAGGCGGGAGCATGGGTTTCAATGTCTTCATTTGAGGAGCTTCACAGATGACCAAGGGGAGAGGCCAGGAAGGCAGKCAGAGCCCCCATCTGAAGACAGAATTCAAAACCACAATACCTAAGGGGGTAAGTGTAGATGGGGAAGGGGTCCTGGGGCTGAGGCTGGGGACCCTTCCTGTTGTGGGTCTGGGGAGATAAAGAGGGATCAGTGAGAAAGACCGAACAGTCAGTGATATGAGGACCAGAGTGGGGAATTTGGAAGCCAAGTAAAGATGGTGCCTCCTCCAGGTACCAGGAGTGGTCAGCCAGGCCAGGAGCTGCTCAGAAGCTTCCAGAGGAGCCTGGGAACTGACCATCATGGTCAGTATTAGACACAGGCCTGGGAGAGCACGGGAGGGCCTGGCATGCTGAACAGAGGTGGCCTGAGGAGCGATTGCATTTCACAGTCTTGACCTCCAAACAATGACCAGTTCCGTAGGTCTAAGGAAGGTTTGCTGGGGGCTTCCACAAACGCTGTCTGATTTTCCCTCCCAGCAGCTCTGGGTAGTGTGGAGGCTCACAGGTGCTGCTTAGGCATCCATAGCTGACTTTTGCAAATAGAAGGGAAGGAGACCCAGGAGCACCAGGTCTCTCCTCTCAGCCTGATGCTGTTCCCCAGGGCAAACACTGCTGCCTCATTTGTGTTTGACCAGAGGACTCTACCAGTCATTCTCAATGACATCCCAACTTTATAGCTCCTGAGACGAGTTCCTCTCTAGGTGACTGAGACAGGGTGCTCCCACCCAAACTCCCCACTCTGGTCCTCATATCACTAACTGCTCAGTCTTTCTTGATGATCCCTCTTTATGTCCCCAGATGCACAACAGGAAGGATCCCCACCCAATGCAAGAAGATAGTATTTTCTGCATGGAGTTCAATGGTACTACCAATTATTGCAAGGTTTCCCTTAGTTTAAGTCCAGTTGCTACTGAAATCCCTGAATTCTAAGAACCCAATGGATGCATGTCAGACTTTCTTCAGTGGTAGAGGCAGAGCCCCCAGAAAGAAGGTGGAGTGTGCCCAGGGACCTGAGGGATAGTGCAAGTCATGTATTTCTGAGCCCAGGGATTAGGACTGCGGGTAGCCAAAACTCCTGGAAGCTGGGGGCTTACTGAGCTGTCAGTGTACAGGATGTGAAAGGACTCCAGCCAGGTCCTAGATCTCAGAGCAGGTGCCTTCCGGCTTCCCTTCTGGGCATGCTCAGAGTGGCCATTGGCCTCACCCACAAAGACCTCAGAGYTCCACCAGGTGCTTCACAGAAGCACCTACCACACTTGGACATGATGTCAAAACCGGAGGCGGCTCCAAAAYGGACCTCGGCACCCCCACCAGTGCATGGGAGGCCAGGTGGGGAAGTGGCATGTGTACCTGGTTTGACTCTCTGCTGGTCACAGTAGATCTTACTCAGGCACGTGACCCTCAGCCGTCTCCTGCTGCAGAATGAGATCCTGCCTGCCTCTGCTGGTTAATATGGGTATTCAATGAGGTCAGGGATGCGGGGACCTGGGAAACCAAAYAGCTCACAGAGGACAGCATTTTTCTTTCAGTAAAATCAGATGCTCAAATATTTGTCAAATGAAGATTTCAAAGGCCTGAGCTCTGCCCTTTTGTGTGCCCTGCCCTTTGTGTGTCTGTCAGCTCCATTAAGACCACCGCTTGAAGCCAAAGCAGGGTGTGGACATCTGACCTCATGCAATGAAAACTGACAGGAAGAACCGGATTGTCCTGGGCCCTGGACAATGCTTTACAATAACTCCTCTGAAATAACAACTTACTYTGTCAGGCTCCACCACCGCTCCCACCCCGTGCGCTTAACCAACGGGTCATGTTTATTTTCTTAACTGTGCTTTTCTCCTTCAAATGTATTGTAATGAAAAGGACTAATTTTGTAATCAGAGAAAAGCCATGAAAAATAATAAAGTTCTGCAAACTCACCACAATCAGCTCACTTCCGTCTCATGCACGGAGGCCTGTGCCTATTTCTCCAACCCCCCACCCCCGCGTGGGGGACCACCAGCACTTCCCACTTTTGTGGGTCCTTGTCATAGGAGAAGATGAGCACTCAGAAGCCTGGTTCTGCCTTCATGAAACCGAGACTTGGTGTAGATACGGCCCATGGGGTCACCTCGGCCACAGCTCTCATGTGCTGCTGCCTTTTGGCCATGAGATGAGTCCTCAGGATCATCCCTGTGTAAACATGGCTGAGCTCCCGGACTCATAGACACAGACCAAACAAGAGCTGGACTGGGGCGGGCGCCGTGGGGCGGAGACCAGCATGGCCCAGAAAGGTCACCTGGGTTCAGAGTCCTGCTTGTGGCCTAGCCCCTCCTCAGCCTTTCCCACTGCGTTCACTCTGGGGGGGCCCAAAAGAGGGCCAGGGATTACCTCAAGGTAGAGAAGCAGGCCTCGGAAAGGAAAATGAAAAGAATCCGAATGTATCTTAGTTTGATGAAGGAAAAAAATCTTAAGTCTTCCAGTATATTAAAAGATCATTTATATGCTATTTTTAGGAAGCTATCAAATATCTCTGTGACTAGAGAACAAGAGGGAATCGGAAAAGCCATTAGTAAAACTTTCCAACCTCAGAGCGAGAAGCCACCAAAAGAAGCTTGAGGCTGCTGGGGACCAGGGCTTCCGTCCTGGGTTCCTTGGGACCTCTGAGAATTTGCCACCTTCAGAGTGGGGAAGGACTGTGTGGATCTCAGCGCCTCTTTGACCAAGTTGAGCTTTGCCTTACAGATTCCGTACATAGAAACCAGTGCCAAGGACCCGCCTCTCAATGTGGACAAAGCCTTCCATGACCTCGTTAGAGTAATTAGGTGAGCAGCCCACCCCTCTCTGGAAGGAGCCTCTGTGGCTGGGAAGGGCCCAGCCAGGCTGAGGGTTTGGTAAGGAACCCAGCTTCTGTTCTGGCCAGTTCTGGAGCCTCCTTCCATCTCTTGCCCCTAGCTTTCCACCCACCTCCGCCCTCCCCCAGCTGCAGATGGGTCTGTGGGTGGAAGCTGCTCCTCCTGCCACGTGGACCCTCCTTCACCTGCTGAAAGGAAGTGCCTTCCTGCTGGGCTGTGGCACCTCCGCCCCATCCAGCCACCCTGGGTGTTCTCCCAACACCAGAGCTTTCCACCCAGCAAAAACGAGGCAGGCCCCTCTCCCCATTCCCAGAGCAGAAGCCCTGGGTACGCAGTTTCCCCTGAACAACCAACTGTGTGATTCTGGGGCGCCAATTTCAGGGGAACCGTGTGGGCATCTCTTTTCCAGACCCACAGCTCTCAGCCTTCGAGCAAAGTCAGCTGGCCTGACAGATAGTTTCTTGAACATTCCTTTGCGAGGTCAGGGTCCAGGTGTAATGATCTGGTGCTCAGATGACTGGCTGCAGTCCCTGTCCCCATGTATCCCACTTCTCAAATCTCCAGCATCTGGAGCCACCCAGGCCTTAGTTCTCAAGACACCATGCATTGAATCCATTGCCCTCACGCTGGTGACTCAGAGGGCTGTCAGTTAGCTCTGGATGAGACCCAGAGCTCTAACGTTGTCCTTTGCTCGACACCTCCCCATCCACCTTGCATGTGCTCAATAATCTCATTTTCYCCTGTTATTTCAGCCTAATGGAAAATACAGCAGGCTTCACTTAACGTTTCTGCTGGCAGCTCTCTCTCTGCACACTTGAAATGATTTACTCCTGGTCATTCTGTCTCCTGTTAGGATGTGCTACCACCAAGTAGCATATAGGGACGTCCTGGTTATGATCTGTACATCTAAGGTCAGGTTTAGACCTAGGAAGAGTTAAAACATGTGAAAAGCTTTTGCAATAAAATGCCAGTTGGCCTGTCATTTAATTTAAAATATGGAACACAGAAACAGAGGMCAGCACTCTGTACAACCTAAAGCATGATGCAGCTTAGGATTTAAATAAATATAACAACACAGCCTGATGACAGTAATTCCCGTCAACAGGATGATTTGAGTTTTCCCCTCCTCTTCCTTCCCAGTTTCTTTGCCCTAAGAGACGCTATCCAGCCAGGCCCCTCTCTAGCAGCTAGGACTCCAGTGCCTCCAAATCTGTCCTCCCAACCCCCAGCCCCTRCCAGAACAGGCTCCCTGTGCCTCTGACCCAGGAGTAAGGGGGAGAAGAGAAGCAAAATCCGTTYTGACTTTGTCTTTCTGTCCTTCAATGTTTAAAAGGCAACAGATTCCAGAAAAGAGCCAGAAGAAGAAGAAGAAAACCAAATGGCGGGGAGACCGGGCCACTGGCACCCATAAACTGCAGTGCGTGATCTTGTGACGGCCTGAGTCCCTGGGCACAGTGACAGCGAACTTGCCAGCCCTCGGGACCCCTCCACTGCCTAACTGCACTGAAAACCATTTCTAACCACAACCCTTGGCCTGAGGACTTGGCCTGGGAAGGGAGAGAGGAAGGGTGAGCTGGGAGCAGACAGGGCCTGGCTTTGCCAGAGGGCACGAGCTGTCTCAGATCTCCTGTGAGACCAGGAAGCCACCTGTGAACAGAGCAGCCTTTAGCCCCTCGCCGGTTGATACATCCGGGTCCCCCCCCTTCTCTTGGTGGGTGTGTTGTTCCTTTTAGCTACCTAGTGTTGGTTTGATGTGGGCGTGTTTATCCATGTGCAACGTTCCAAACAAGCCATGATCCAGCTTCCCCCCGCCGCCTGACTCCAAGCCACAGTGTCTGAGCTCAGATGTCTTTTGTAGATTTTTAAATTATTTTAGTGATGATTATTTTATTTAGGGGGGGGGGTCTGTGCCCACTGCCTGGTGGAATCCCAGGTCTTCAGCAGACCTCACTGATAACATGGACAGGATACTATTGTTGTCTTCTTCATTGAGTGCCAAACTCAACCCAGAATGAGCAGAATGGCCGAGAGGCCCGAAGTTAATGGGAATGGTATGTAGCTGGGGGTGGGGGGGTAGGGGTCCTCAGGCCATGGGTCATACCCTGGAGGGAAAGCAGCCCCACTCATTGCCTAGAAACTGAGGAGAAGAGAAATGCATTTACCCAGAGGGCTTTTGCTGAGGACGCAGATATCAGAAGACAAAATTTATCTCACCGAGATGAGTGGCAGGTGCAAGCATGTCGTTTCTAAAAGGAGAGTTTGTTATTATTGTCCTGAAAATATATAAACTAAGGTGAGTGAGTGGCTTTGCACAAAAGTGCATTTATTTTCAGAGAGCATGGGTTCGGTTGTTCTCCCCAGGCGGGCGAGAGGCCCTGGGTTTCTCAGATCTTCTCCTGCTCCTGTGCATCACCTGTGCTGCCCAGGGTTTCTCTGATACAAACTCACTGTCATGTCCAGGAAGCCCCTGTGGACTCCCTCCAGAAAACTCAAGGTCACACAGAATCTTAACCACAAAAGATTCAGTCTGGATCTCCCTTAAACATTACCAGGACCTGAAGCCATTTCCCTGTGAGTCAACCGACCACCACCTCTGTTAAGCCCAGTTACTGAGCAAACACCTTCCCTTCAAGGGTTAGCGGATCCCTTGTCTCTTTGGCACACACACTTTTATTACCCTCTTGGAACTCGACAGTAATACAAGAGCAGAGGAGAAAAGAAGGTGGGGCTCATGATGGGACTCCCAGGTATCTGTTTCTGCATGGGACAGTCCCCCCTGAGAATGCCCACCTCCCTCTCTGGTGCTGCTTGTGGGAGCAAAGACGGGATATTTCCAGCCCSGGTTGGAGTGGAGGGGCAGCCAGAACAACGGTGCCCCCTCTCAGAGGAGGTCAGAAGATGAGGTGGCTTGGTGAGTGACCTTCTTCCCCAGGTGTTACCAATCAGATCGCTGTGCAAATAGAACAGTCCCCACAGGTGACCAGGCTGCTCTTTGGAGAAATAAAGACATGGAAGGAAAGTCAAGAACAGTGAGCCTCCAACCAGTTGACCAGACACCCGKATTCTTCTCTGTTCAGAAAGTGTGCCAGGATCCTCACTCGGCCAGATCACCAGCACCAAGGGATCAGCCAGAAGAATGATTCTGCTGCAGGGGGGACCCGTGTTGGTTGGAAATCAAACTTCCTTTTTGTCAAAATGCACCCCTTCCCTTTATTTTTTCCTGTTCCTAAAGGAAAGGATAAGAGAGAACATTCCAGAGGAGGCATTTCAGTTTCCAGGATCCTATAATGTTAGCGAGTATTTTAAACACTAAAAGGCCACGGCTCTTTCTAACCCTGAGGCTCCTCTGAGCCCGGTCTGCAGCAGGCATGTGAGTGGTTTTGTGTGTGGTTTGATCTCCAGCTGCATCCTCAAGATGCAGAGCAGTGAGCACAGGGGTGCTTTGCATTGGGAGTGKCAGAGGAGGACAGGAAGCCCTGCACACAGGGCAGCGGCCACTGCCAGAGAACTACCGAGCACCACCCACCACCAGCACACCCCCTGCCCACAGGGAGCTGCAGCTCTAACCGCACCCACTGGGGGGTCTCCTTGGAAGCAGACCTACAACAGGGCCCTGAGCCATAAAGGTAACCAGAAGAGGGGTTTCCCATCCTGGTTCCCCTCACATACAAACGGGGTGGTGTATCTGCCACCATCCCCATCTTCCAGAGCATCTATCCTAAACTCAAGCCACAGCTGGACTCCACAGGGCCTAAGGAGACTCTGGTTAAGGGTTGGCCTCTG